ATCTTCTTTACGTCGGTCTTGACTTCAATAACGTAATTCGGAGGCTTGGCAGCTTGTTTTCGGATTGAACGTCGGTTTTGGGCTTGAACGTGCTTGAATCTTCCTTCGAATCTTCAAGAACGCCTTTGAATCTTCAAAACACTTGAACTTTAATAACGCAATTCAGAGGCTTGGCAGCTTGTTTCCGAATTGAACGTCGGTTTTGGGCTTGAACGTGCTTGAATCTTCCTTCGAATCTTCAAGAACGCCTTTGGATCTTCAAGAACACTTGAATCTTGTGGAGAGAATTCTCTAGAGCTCTTGAACTTGAATATGACTTGTGGACTTGAATATGAATTGTATTCTTTTTTTCACCTTAGGGAGGGTCCCTATTTATAGGTGTTGGGAGAGAGAGTCTTGGAAAAGAAGACTTCAATTTGATTGGTCCATAATTTCCAATATTTATCTCTTAATAATTATTTAAAGAGATAATTAGGAGAGAGAGTCTTGGAAAAGAAGACTTCAATTTGATTGGTCCATGAATTTCCACTTATTTATCTCTTTAATAATTATTAAAAGAAATAAATATTTATTTTACTCTCCAAGAAAATGACATGTGGCATTCTTTAATTGGCCTTCAAAATATACATGTGGCATTCTTTAATTGGCCAACAGTGTATATTAAATAATCAATTAATTAACTATTTAATTTAGGAATTAAACTTGATTAATTTCCCAAATAGAATAGAAAATTATTAAATTGATTTTGACATGAAATTTGACATTTGTCGCCATTTTATTGGCTCAAAATTTATTTGTCTACAGCTTCCAACGGAAATTTCAACAAAAATATTATGTTGGAATGATTTTAGATGAAATGTAATTATTCCAACGGTTACTTTTTAAATATTTTTTTTGGTTGGAGTACGTAATTTTAGTTGTAATTTTTATTTTCATTTTTATTTCAATCATTGAAAAATTTACCGTTAGAATAGTCAAAATTCAACGACAATTCGAATGAATTACTCACTCCGATGGAATATTTATGTTGAAATTTTCGTTGAAATCCATTAAAAAATTCTGACAGAAATAATAGCTTGAAATATTTATTAGAATTGTCGTCGAACTTTCATTGGAATATATTACCGTTAGAATTTGAGTAAATAAAGTTTAATATTAATAAATATATAATAACAATTTTATTTTTTTTTATTTGTGTTGACGAGTTTAAAAAATGAAATGAAATGTTTTTTCTCTTTTTTTTTTT